CCAAGAATAGGAAACAGGTTACCACATGTGCAGCTAATCATTCAGTTTATACTCTATTTTCTTTCAATTCTCAAACATAACCTCTCATCAGCTGTTAATAATTTAAAAGCAGGGTTGAAAGCAGACAAGCAGCATGTCAAGAGTGCAAGAAAAAATGCACTTTCCTCTTCTCGATCAGTCTGCGCCTCTGTTGACTGTTTGCAGTTATGGCAGACTGCCACATCGACCTCTCGGGAGAGTCTACACTGTGCGGAGCAGATGTGTGTTTTGTTGAATGTCAGAAAATGGACAAGAAGCAGCCGAAGCTGTTGTTGGGATTCCCTCTCAGGTAAACGTGGGAGTTAATGATCTACAATGTAATGCTACATATTTTACAGATCTACTCTAAAGCTATTCCAAGCTTGAGCTGAGAAATTAATGGAAAGCAGCAGCAGTGGACCATCTAGTCTCGACATTTGACCTCCCCTGCAGAAGAACTGAAAGATGTATTTCACAGAGATCAATAAAATGTCATCATTATCTGTCGGTGCTGCTCTCATCTCCGTCTTAACTACTCTGTCAGTGTGCTCGCTCTCTCTCTCTCGCTCTCTCTCTCTCTCTCTCTCCGAGTCATACGTTTGCAGAGCTCATATTGGCAGATTTAAATGATATCCAAACACAAGACACGTGTTAGTGAGGATGATGGAGAGGAATAGTTAGGCACTGGATCTGTATAAACATACATTGAAGAATTCTCCCCCCTTGCCTCAGCGTTCATTATATATTCTACAGATGATTCCCTTTCCCATGTCTGTTTTTATCCTCCCATTTCCTATCTTTGCCTCATCTCCCTCGTCAGCCATCCTCGTGTGCCTCACTTTGTCCTTTTCACTTCCTCTGAATAAAAAGAAAAACTCTGCGTAAATCAGAGCATGATCTGAATCAGGCAGGGGGGAAACACTGAGTCATAAACAGCCCCTCTCTCTGCGTTCTTTCATTCATATCCAGACTTGCAACCTTCTGGCTCAAGAGAGATATTTGGGGATAAGGCGTGGGCGGAGGGCGGAAGAAGCATGAGGCGATGAGAAGAGGTGAAAAATGGGAGGTGTGCAGGAAAAAAAAGGAGGGCTGAGGAGCATGTTTACCCCCCTCTGCACGTCTGAATCACACAGAAAAGGGAGCACTTCTATAGAGACAAGTAGAAATGGAAGAAATGATTGCAGAAAGGCTTTTTTATTGGGGGGGGATGCTGGGATCTCATTAGTGGGAATGGAAGGGATGTGAGAAAGGCTCTGTCTGTCTGTCTGTTTGCTCCTAATTGAGGTTGGAAGGAGGGCAAGGTGGGAGAGCAGCAACACTCCCAAATAATCCTCCTCATGATAAATTTACAAGGCATAATTTTTCACAAGTGCTCGCGAGGGGATTTGAGATTCTGAGACGGAAAGACATGCAGCAACGTGAAACAGGAAGGGAGAGATAAATCTGCCTGTGAATCTTCCTGCAAGAGAGCTGTGATAATCTATGTTATGTGCCTGCACTTAATGTCAGTCCCAGATGCTTACTCCTAATTGGCCTAATCTGTTTTCCTCACAGTCGGTTATTTACACAGACTGATAAAAGACGCAGAACTTCCATTTCCAGAGGTACAAGAGTTAGCATCTGTTTGCTTTCATTTCTCTCCGAGAAATCAAGATGAAACGTCTCAACCACCTGTTTGACGGTTGAAATAATGAAATAAACTCAGCTAGCTCATCCCAGATAATCACGTAAATGTAAAGTAATTCTAACACCAAGGAGTAGACACTCACAAACGCCTTTATCATTGAGTAGCAACAGCAAAAGAGGTGATTGATTCTCCTATAAAGTAGACTGTTTAAACACACTGAGCATATCAAATCACATAAATTAAAGTGTATCTAATCATTCCATGACAAATCTGATTATTTTGTTAGTTTTAATTGCCCGTGCAGCATTATGCAAATCTATCTCTCCGGGTACTAAGTGAAGCACACCAGATTCTAGAGAATATAATACCATTACTGTTTATCAGCTGGAGGCTATTTAGGGAACTTTAAAGTAGTATAATACATTATAAAGAGAGGGGTATAAATGCTTCACTTACTTTTTTAAACTGCACTAGCCTTGGTGAAACAGTTATGATGAATTATAATGATGAATGGACTGACTGGCCAGTCACGGCCATAACCAGGATTTTATGAGGATATCTTCATGTTTTGGCCCCCGCCTGTGAATACTATAGCAGTGTAAGCGGTGCAAACAAACTAAGATTGTGCTCCATATACAGTTCATGTTTTACTGGTTGGTCCAAACAAGCAGACCAGCTCAGCTCCACTCTCCTCTTTTTTTTTTTTATTTATTTTTTTAATGGGACTGGGCCTCGTGGTGCATTTAAGTGACATCACACAGCATCAAATGGGAGCCAGATTTCTGTGTGTCAGGGTCAGAAGAGACGCAGTGGAAGCTTGTTTATTCATAATTGCTTTGTTTTATTACTTCTGTTTCTGTGCTGTCCTTGGGTTACTACAAAACACTTAATCGGAAAAGGAAATTGTGCTGACAGTTTCTACTTCTATCATCATTATTTATGAGGTTGATAAGGTTAAATGAACAATGCCACAGGGGTTTTATATTTTCAGCGTGTGCAACTAAAACGATAACTTTTGAAAAGGTTTGCCAATTCTGGCACCCAATGAATGAAAACTGAAGTGTTTTTTATTTTGTCACCAACTGCTGTCCGTCTCTTTACTCTATAACTGCTGTATTTCATATGCTTTTATTATTCCTCTACATATATTCATCTAACCTAGTACCCATATTATACCATCCATGCAGATGTGTCCTTGTTCCTATCTGATCTTACACTTTTTTTTCTGCAAAAAACACTGGGGATTAACTTGTGACTGAGGTAAAAAATATAAACTTGAACTCATTCTTCTCTCTGGTCCTTGTTGTGCACCATGCAGGTATATGAGAAACACTCTTTTGAGTATTATGCAAAGGCTTACAGTCTCCAGAGAGGCTGGAGGATCACAAGTGTATATAAACATTACACATATTATACTACACATACATACAAAAGAGAGACTCTCATATATGAGCGCTCCATTTCATTCCCCGCTGACATGTTTGAATTGTGAAATATATATGATTGCCTGTAGTCTATGAGCTGGTAAACAGTTAAATTACCCCCTGAAGCCAAACCAGTGTGTCACATTTGTAATTACTTGGAAGCATATTTCAACAAACACAAGGACTCAGCACAGAGCACGGTGAAGGAAATGAACTGTGTGAGAACAAAAAAAAGCACTTCAGCTCATCAGTAAAAAAAATAAAAAGATACCTGAGCGCTTCGTCTGGAAAGAAGTGCACCGTACGCTCACATTTTAGCTTCAGGAATTTATTTGTGGATATAAGGTGACACATGTTCTTCTAGTAGCATGGGCGGTTCTATGCAGGGGTCAACAGGGGCCAGTGCCCCTGTAACACTGAGCTTGGTCCCCCCTGTGGCCGCCCCTCCAAAAGGAAGAGCCCCCCTCATAACACATACACAGTATTTGACTCAACAACAGGACTCACAACCTTGTATTAAATACTGTTACTGAAAGAAATATAGATCATGGTATTTTATGTTGAGGTATTTAATGATGGGTGCTATTGTTTGGCACAATATATATTTTTTAAAGCGATCATCTTTGTCTATTTTTAAACCTGGGTTTAATGTTCCCCTCTGACAAAAAAACTGTCCCCAGTTTGGCCCCCTCAGTAAAAATGGTCTAGAACCGCCACTGTCTAGTAGCTTTGATTTGTTTAAACCTTTCTCAGCTGGTTAAGATGGATCTCTAAAGAGGCAAAAAAAATATATACACACTTCCATAAACAAGCAATATCTCAGTCCTGTAATCTCCATATTGATTCACTGGTTTGAAAACTAAACAGCACTCTGAAGCTATGAATAAACTGATTGAAATTTAGATTGTTGATTCATTTCATGAAGATTCATTACTTAGCAAATCACATTATTTGTTCAATGTTGTATGACAACCAATTTGACTTTGGTATATCTCCTGGGGATGGCTGTTTATTGGATTTTCTATCTTTTTAAATACATTTTATGCTTTTATGCAGATAGGATCATGTTTTTTAATGGATCTAACCCCGAGTACAGGCAATATCTGAAACCTGTAGGGTACAGTTGTTGTCTAATAGGTCTTTCACACTCGCAGAAAACTCCTGATAAACTCCTTATAATTGCAGGAGGAGCTGTGTGTGTGTGAACGCAAACAGCTGAATTTTTCACTTGGACTTTACCCAGAGTTTCTCAGTGAGCCCCCCTAGTATTTGTTTTGCAGCAAGTGAGCCTATGTGAGAACTACATAATATTATCCAGAGGATTCACTTCAAGCCAATGGGAGGGTGTGGTGACGTGTATGTCCTGTGACTGCTGCATGGTGCATAAAGTGTATGCATGAGACGGCTACAATCTCTGTGCATGTAATTAAACGGCTGCATTACGTTTTCTGTTTGCCAGTGTGTTCTTCTAACTCTTTTGTTGATATTTTAATTCCCTTGAACTACACATATAGCATTGATATAAAGGCAAATATTCTCATTATAGCTATGTATAGCAAACTGTTGCTTGATCGTCTACCACTTGCGCATGTTTTTAAAAAAATGTATGTGACGTCTTGCCTCAGGAGTTCCCACGCCCACCCCTGCCATCTAAAAAGGGATAGCCTCCCACTGTGAGGTGCATATGTGAACAGCCAGGTCAAGAGAATTTCTGGAACAGTCCTCCTGAAATGATCTAAATATTTTCAGGAGTCCTTGTGTGAAAACAGCTTAAAAGTATTACATGGTCTTGAAAACTTTGGTGAATAGTATTAGTGTTTTAAAGTACTTCTATTTGTTTTCCAAATGTTTTATAGCAAGGTTAATAGTCTATAAATATCATCAGTGAGGAAAAAGCTTGGTAAGCTTGGTTTGGGTCTTATTGCACTTACCATATGGAATGACTGTGGCAAAAATCCAGCGCAGACATGATCTGTCTGAAGAATTTCCTGGCCTCTTTAGGTGTTAACCTGCCTTTCTTCACCAAGTAGTCAAACAGCTCGCCACCAGACACATGTTCTAGAACAAGGTACCTGAGAGACAGAGAGGAGGACAGGAGTAAAGATAGTGCATGGAAGAGCTGCGATACACACAAACAAAAGACAGATTACACTCATAGAGACAGAAACAAACACCTGTGTCCTGCAGTGAGTAGAAAGGGCCCTGAAGACAGTGAGAGACCTCAGAGGGCTGTAATAACTAGAGCATTATGGGATTGAGAGTCTTCCCTTAGGCATAACAAATTGAAAACAAAAACAAACACAGGATCAACAATCTGATCTCCCCAAACTCATATCCTGTTGACTGTTAGTTTTCCATGTCTTCATGAGTAAGCTGTCCCCTTGGAGACAGTGAAATACAATACGTGAAGGTCTTAAAATATACCTCTAATAAAGCATCATAAGGATGATATTGTAGTATTTTGTTACAAAAAGACGGAGAGGTGTGTGTAAAGCTCTTAGACATATGGGATTTGGTAGTTTGTGTATCTCAGAACTGGCTTCGTAAAGCAAGAGAAGATAGAAGAAAGACATTGAAAAAACATTTTAAGATTCTTTTGTAGAGAAAGAATCTTAAAATGAAAAACTCAATACGGTACTTGAGTTTTTCTTTTGTTTCTCAAAACATACATATATTTTCTCTGCCATCACATTTTTTTACAGCCCCTCTTCAGCTGGCACTTTGAGCGTATGTGGCTTTGCTCGCAGTTGCTCGATGTTGCTTTGGAGACAGTCTGCTCCGGAGCTCTTAGGGGACATGGAGGAGATAAATCTGATCTAGACCTAAAGCTGCATCTGTGGGCTGGGAGCCAGCGGTGCCCTGTCCCTGCTCCGTACCGGCCTGCTCGTTTATCCTGAACTGAAACTCCCTCCATCTTCACTAGGACAAATTGAAACTCAGACAGGCAGTGAAATACTCCTTCTACATCCTCTCTCGCTCGCTCTCTCTCTCTCTCTCTCTCTCTATGCTGTGGATACAATGTGTGGATACAGAATAAAACCCTTCAATTTGATTATCATGAAGCAATCATCTGATTACAATCAGATGATTTTGTACGTCGAACTACTCTGCCAATTAAAAATTATTGTCTAATATTCTTTTCAACTTTGAAGGAGCTCTTCCTTAGAGCTACAAAAAAATGAGGGTTTTTTTTAATTAAGAGAGAAGTAAAGTTTGCATGAAAAAGTAGGGGTGTGCAGTTTGAATTTTATAGGTTTCACAATGCAGTGAAAGTCTGATAAAGAAATTCTAACAAGTTGCATTATGGGAATTGCGAGATCCAGCACATTTAGAGCCTGACCCACGCTCTGCTGAGGATATGTGGCACAGATTTGGACTAATCCTTTTTTTAATCCTTTTCTAGCAAGTACCTACACCTAATGGAAGTGCGATACTAAATCACTGAAGTATCACCACATTTTAACTGCCATCTATAGTCTACTCTCACATTATTTTCTAACTGGTAGCTGGACAACTAAGAATAAGAGTTTAAAAGAAAATGTCTTGCATTTGTTTCTATCATTCATTTTCTTTAAGGTTCAAACTCTGTAGACATTTTGAAGATTTAACAGTTACACTCATAATAACTCCATTACAAATCTAGTGTACCCATGTGCATTATGGTCTCGAAGAATATCAGACGTTTTCTCGGCACATATTTGTCATTCTCAGTGGCATAATTCATATTAACTTCATGATGTGATCATTCATTCATTTCTAGCAAGGAAATATCCATGAATAAAATATTGGTGGGCTATGTATCAAGCTAAATCCACTTCCCCTTCACCTCTTGTGAACACACACACACACACGCAACACGCACACACGCACACACGCACACACGCACACACGCACACACGCACACACACACACACACACACACACACACACACACACACACACACACACACACACACACACACACACACACACACACACACACACACACACACACACACACACACACACACACACACACACACACACACACACACACACCATTTTGTATTAGGATCTGTGCCAGCAGCATAATAAATCTTGAAAGCTCTGGGACTGCTGGCTCAAAAGGCGCTGCATGTCTATCAATTATTGGATTTCAAGTGGAGATAACTGAGCTAGAATCTAAACAACATCAACTCTAAAAATTAAACCACAGGTTTTAGGCACAGAGTTTGCTTGAGTCAGTGGAGACACAAGCGTAAAAGCAATTTGTCTTCTGTGAGGCTACTAGTGACCAACTGTCAAACATGATGAAGCAATGGGCACCAAATGTGATTTTAATAATCCAATTATAGGATGAATCACAATATTCTGTTCTTTCTTTCATCTTAACGGATGTCATGTACAGTACTGCGTGTCCGATCCTATTTGGCCTGTTAGCTCAAGATGAGAACTAATTGAATCTAGTTGACAAACAGTCCTCTGTGGATCAAGAGGGAGACCATAAACTGCTGATGGGCTTGTCACTCACCACAGTTAAAGTTATCTAATAGATTTATGTGTGTGCCTACACGTGTCTATGTGTGTACAAAGCCTCTGCAGCAGGCTAATACTGCTGCCACTCTCCATGGCTAATGTTTCTTAATGCATTGGTGTTGGCTCTCTGATAAGCGTGTCATGGTGTTTACATTACGGAGACTTCCTCTCCCTATTAGCAGTCCCCTGGCGTGCACGACCAAATTAAACGCTTCATGCCAATACAAATGGAGCATCCGCCTCCTAAGGCTATCACTGTTAGCCTCCTATCATAATACACCAATCAAAACTACTCTGTAGGTCAGTATGATGATCTAAATACTGCCCTGGCGCCAAACAGTTGGAAACACTTGTGAGTTATTTAGCAAGCTTACAGTTATTTAGTGTGTGCTATATCTGTTTCTCTCAACCAAAGCTGGGCCACAATCCACATGTGATACTTACAAGTATTTTTTATTTTCGTAGACATCGTGTAGCTTTAAAACATGCGGGTGTTCTATGAGCTTCAAGATAGCTATTTCTCGCTCCACCTGTGAAAAAGAGGGACAGGCAGAGAAAGAGAGAGGGAGAAAAAGGGAGACAAAAAGAGATGTTATTATATCATCAACACAGTTATGTTCCTAAAAGCACTCTAGGACAAATTGTCCTGATGTGCCCTCTTCAACTGGAACTTTCCTCTCACTGCAGTCAATCCTGAAGGACCAGGGAGACAAAAAAAATACCTGTGATAAGTTCTTCCCAATCACTTCTTTTTTTTTTTTCTTGATGTTACCTGTGAAGGTCATTGCTGGAGAGACAACTCTGAGAGGAAGCAATATGTAATAACAATGCACACCACCTGCACAAGGGCTTAAGAGGAATACGGAAACCAAGGAGAGGAGCTGACTGGCACTTTCTCCTGGCAGAGAGGACAGAGATAAGCTTTGACCACACTCTGCTTGGCATCCAGGCCAGTGAGCGCTGCTATCTCGGGTAGAAAATATTGTTTGCTTCAAAAAAGGAAGAAAAAAAAAAAACGAAGGAGAACAGGTTGTGTTTGTCTTATCTTACAAAAAAAATGTGTCTTCTGCTCTGTCACAAAACAAGCCTCACGGTATACTTTGCAAGCGCATTTCATAATCCTGTGGTTTTTGCCTAAGGTGAACATAAATCAGCTTGGCAAGACAAGACACATGAAGGGAAAAAACGCCGTCCCACATTTGAGCATTTCTGTCCACTAGGAGTACAGCCTTTGGGTGAATTGGGGTCAGCATGTCCACTCAGGTACATCAAAGTCTCCCAGAGGAGGGTTTTTTTTTCCTAGATGGTGACTGCTCACATAAAACTATTTCTAGCAGAAGAGGAGGCTGAATCCACACAAGTTTCAAAGTTCTTTTTTTCTTTATTGCTTATGGAGCGACTGAGAGACATGTCAAATGTGAGACCGGTGAGAGCTGAAATTCACCAAAATCGAGCAGATCAGTTTGGATTTGTGTCAGCGTCTCCGGAGGTTGTAGTCAGCATGTATAGTTGCGACTGAAAATCAGCATGGAGCCCGTTCTGACAGAACCCGCTGCTAATCTTCAGCCCCCTGTGCTCCACTCCTGCACCGCTCTCACTTATCTGCTCATCCTTCTCCTCCACCTTTTTTGTTCATCCTCTCCTCCACCACTCAGTGCCTAGCTTTGAATGACAATGATGGCGATGAAAGGACAGTGTGAGATAAAGGCTCCTCTGCCTCATCTCAATCTCATCAAAGTCAGTTTCACTTTGTCACTCGCCTGTGACAGCCTTCATGCTGCTTTAGTGTCACAATCATCTGACTTAGCTTTATGAACACTCGTGTGGAATAAAGTCAGAGCTCTGATCCGTCGGTTAACTATGTTTTTGTTAAACTCCCATAAAGATGTTTGCTTGACTGCATGTGTATAAAATCAGGTTCCTCCCCCTTAATTGTGCTCTAACATTGTTTTTCTACTATTCTATTAACGATAACTGTCAGCTGAGGTATGCATTGTACCCTATCTATAATTATTTTCTGCCAAAACAGTAGCGTTCCTGTCTTCACTCCTTATCAAAGTAACATGTTGCAATGTGGATGGTAAAAACCTGCTGAATAAGCTTACTTTTAGCTTCTGAAGTGGAAAATCTAATGCAGGGCAACTGCTCCTGAAGCTTCAGCCAGGAAAAAAGTCATGAGAGAATATAAAGCAAGGCACACAGCTTGTCTTAAAAGGGTAGAGTGGTAAATAGCATTAGCATGGAGTATCAGTGGGAGTAATGGCTAGGCTAATCAGGTCTAATCCAGAGACTAATGAGCGCTATCAGCACTGTTACACCCTGCCACTGTCTCACCTGAGGCTAAGGTGCGTTGTTAAGAATGAGCCCATGGAGGCTAGCTAGCTAGCTGGCAGCAGGGCTCCCCGCAGAGAGACTAATGCTGCCCAGGACTCAGCGAGAGATGAGCTGTCGAAATGCTACAGAGCCAGCAGCTGGCTTCTTAAGCTTCCTCTAAGCGTCTCCTTTCAGTTAATTGAAATAAGAGAAATGAGGCTTAATGTGAAGTCTTAACTGTACAACTGACTGCTTATTGCAAGATTAGCAGTTGATTTACACACTAATGTAAGTATATGAAGGAACTCTTGCTCTTTCTAGCATTAAACAGTGTTACAGTTTCATTTAATAGCCCACGATTATCATTTGCACAGCACTGGCATCCACCTTTCTAAATATCTTCTGTTGGTGAATTATTACAACTACTACTATATTTTAAAGGCCGACACACTGACAACAACTGCTCTATCACTCCATGACACACACATCCAACAATTCATGCTAGCGCCAATGCCAGGTGGTCGTCGTCTTCCTGGACCTGCCTCTTGTACATGGCTTCACACTCTCTCATTAAGTTTCACATCTAGGAGTATAGACAGTTCTCTCAAAGACTCCTTGGCACTTCATTAAACCTTTATTAACAGGCGCTTGGACGCCATTCACCCAAAACCACACATATACAGATACACATACAGACAGTGGACAGGTGGTCAGATGAACACACACCTTCACTTTTTGTGGTCATAGGGAAACTGTCTGTTCAACAGCTCAGTATGGAGCCAATTGTCTTGGTTTTTATAAAACCTAAAACAGTTACATAAGAAAAAAAAGAGCCAGAGGTTGAACACGAGTACAAGACTGACACTAATCCAAATTGGCTATTTGACAGGAGCAGATAATTTGTCTTGTGAAGTAGCTACAGTAGTTATCTTGCAGAGTGGACATCATTAGCGGACGTTGTCAGAACCGGAGCCTAAGTGCGGACGAGGAGATTGGCAAGGCTTTGCCCTTTTCCTGACAAAATAAATATATATACATATATATAAATATACATATATATATATATATATATATATATATATATATACCTGTTCAGTGAAAACGGCTGCAAAGAAAATAAAATAACAGAAAACATAAAGCTGTGAGATGAATATTAAGGTTATAGCCCTAACCCTATTACAAGGTTCCACAAAACTGTATATTAATCTTTCATATTCAAAGCTGAAGCACAGTTTTCCTCACCCTGAAATGTAAATTTGATGATGTGTATTTGAAAGTATGTCAAAGGTGATTGATAACCTGTAATTATTGTGTAATTTGAAGGTGCAGATGGCAATTTGTTGTAGAGGAGTGAAACAAGACGATGTGAAATGACTGGAGCTCAGGCGAATGATGCAGAGTTGTCACTGTTGCTCAGACGTGTCATGAGAGCCAGTTTAGCATATAACTCCATCAGCTTGCTATTGATTCTATAAATTACAGGCCTGGATCCGAATGGCTGAATGGACGAGCAAACAAGTGACTGGTGACATCAATAGTTCCATCACCATGGCTAAGAGTCCAGTAATAGAGGACAGAGGATCAGAGACAGAGACAGGCAACAACAAAGACGCACAGAGATTAGATTCATGTCACACATGTCACGAAGAAACCAGCCCCAAAATCCCACAGGGGAAAATATTGGATCACAGGCCCTGTCATCTCTCACTCTCCACTTATTGCATCTCCCCTATCTTTTTTTCTTGCCTTTCTCTTTTTTCCCCTTCTCATGCACAAGGAAAACACAGACATTTCTGTCACCTCCCCCAGGCGAGCGGGTGAATGGTCCCTTGATACTCAGATCTAAGGATCAAAGTCAACAGGGCAGCCATGTGTGTCAGATATATATAAAAAAATAAAAATAAAAAAAAAAGAAATGGGGTGATGGAAGAGCCGGATGCTGAATGGATAAAAAAAACTAGAGGGGAGGGATGGGTTAACGAGAGAGGGATGAAGAATAAGCCATGTAATTCTCTATAATGGAGAAGACTAAAAGAGAAATGTAGAGGAGCCAGACAGAAAGAGAGCACAGTGACAGTGCCAGCTCGCCCCCCCCCCCGAGTGTTGCAGTCTCTTTTGTTGCTAATTAACACTACACGCGGAAAGGATAACCTTTTAAGCAGTGGCGTGCACCAAGCAGCCCACGGAGAGGGAAATGATAACAGCTAGGGTGAAGAGACAGTAATGTGAGGAGCTAAAAGCATGTGCCAATCAGGGAAATAAGAGACAACTCCACCTCCGTGGCTTTGCTTTAGCTCAAAGATAATACATCCAAGAGCAGTTAATAACAGTGATTATAATATCGCTAGGTCTTTCAAAGCTTCTGATTCAACATTTGAATGTGTAAATTGATCAAATGTTTGTTTAAGTGGCTCATTGTATTTATGGGTGGTGAATTACTGTATAACTCATTTTCACTGTCTTTTGAATGTGCACTTCTATGTACTATACATTTTTATATTTTTCCACCTACTTTTGGAATGTCAACTTTCAAAACTATAAAGTTGTCAAACTTAAGAAACCCTTTGTACAATTTTGAAAAAGGCCCCTCTTTTTACCAGAGCACAACTGAACTTAATTTGACAATATGATTAAGCCCATTTTTTAACTTCTATTATTCATGCTACTTTCATTTGTTTGATTTGGTCTTAAGCAAACTAAAACTCTTTTTAAATTTGCAGGGAGAAGGGTGTAGGAGGAACATAGTGTACATTAGATGACATATGGGTGACGGAGTAGTCAGGTATCTGATGGTGTGACACCCAGAGAGAGAGGGGGAGGTGGGTCCAACTGTCAGTGAGCAGAATGGGAGGAGACAGCACAGCTTGGCTTCTGGCTCATCGTCTATTCATACATGTGACATGTGGACACTTTAACACATGATGCACACACACTGTACACACATGCGACTGATCCCGGCAAGTTAACAGCCACCTTCATCCACCCATCCATCCATTCGTTCATCCATATGTTAGTCAGTGAGCCCATAGGGAAGAATCAGTGTTTTCTGCCAGGAGCAGAGGGCAGCTGGTGTGTATGCATGCATTGTGTGTATTGTGTATGAGCTTACACATGCATGTTAGTGGCGTTAGAGTGCAGTTTGTCCGTCTTTGCAACCATGAGGGGAAGGACATTATGTCTCAAGGTCAAAAAGACACACAAAAGGCAACTGTTTGCA